GTACTGAGTGCGTTGCATGCAGTACAAGAACGTGAACAAAGGCAAGGCGGCGACTATGGCCGTGAAGGAAGAATGTCCCAAAGACTAGGCACAGGTCGTGACTGTTTACAGTGAGTATTATTGGCGCCACGTTTGTGGCCGCTAGATCATCGTTTGTTTTTGTCCTGTGAATCGGCCTTGTACTTTAAATTTGTATGTTCATCCAATGACATTTAATGTGTGTGCGTCCGTGCAGACTATATAAATTTGTATGCGTTTAGCGTATGTGTGTGTGTTCAGTAAAGAGTTTTACGGCACTTGCAACACAATAAGGTCATATAAGTGCCGAAGATTAGAGGTGTTACAAGAGAGTAACAACAAACGTAAAAAAGAAGGAGGAGAGATAAGGACGATAGATGTTTAAGAGGAAAGAAGGAGCAAACCACACCAGAGCACCCGCCAACCACCCACTGTGTGTGTGTGTGTGTGTGTTCGCGTGTGTGTGTGAGAGAGAGATAGTGTGCGTGTGTATGTGTGTGTGTGTGTGTGAGAGAGAGAGAGAGAGAGAAAGAGAGGGGGGGAGAGAGAGAGAGAGACAGAGACAGAGAGACAGAGAGAGAGACAGAGAGTGAGTGAGTGTGTTGACGAGTGCGAGTGCGTGTGCGTGTACGTGTAGGCATTTACCATGCCGCAGCAAACTTCTCTTTGTGGAGTTTCCCCAACGTACTTTGCATTATTTAGATAGTAGACACTCTTCTGTCATCTAAACGTGTTGGCACTCTGGAGTGTGTTATTGCGACATTATCCTTTGTCCAATGCTTATGTAAACTTCTTCGTGACATAACGTAATTTCTTGTTCCTTTATGTATCTCTATATGTTCACTTTGCTTATTTATTTCATGTTTTGTTTTTGTTCAGTTTGGTATTGGTCTTTTGTGCCTCTGTTGATTTCTTTTAACCTCGTTAAAATTAAATAGCCTAATCTTTATTAAAAGAAACTCGACTGACCAAGCCTTTACTCATCCATTGAGAGGCCCATCTTTGAAAAGGCCAAACGTGCGTTTTAAGTGGCTAAACCTCAAACAAGGGTACCGAAATATTTGTGTCAGAGAACTTGATAACTTTTATCATAACCCTGTAGCGATGACCCAGTAATTGTGGGTTCTTTATGTCCTCCCAGTCAGCTGTACAGAATCAGCGGGCTCTGAAACTGCAGACAATTTGCACAAAAACCTTGACCCGACGAACCCGGTCTTTGTGAAAACAGTTGTTGCCAAATCTGACGTGAGCATATTTATTACAAATTTTTGTTGTTGCTACTACTACTACTACTACTACTACTACTACTACTACTACTACTACTACTACTACTACTACTGATGCTGCTGCTGATGCTGCTGCTGCTGCTGCTATTACTACTACTACTACTGCTGTAACTGTTGCTGTTGGTGTTGCTTCAGTTGTTGTTGTTGTTGTTGTTGATGATGATGATGATGATGATGATGATGATGATGATGATGATGATGATGATGATGATGATGATGATGATGATGATGATGATGATGATGATGATGATGTTTTTTGTTGTTGTTGTTGTTATTGTTTTTTGTTGTTGATGATGATCATATCATGGCAAGTCACTGAGAAACATATGCTTGATCTATGTTCCTATGCCCATTTTGCAGGCGCGGTAAAACAAAGTAATAACTGTGTGGAATACATTAATAATAAAATTGTCGTTTTTATCTTATACCATAGAAGGAAATAGTGAAAACAAGAAAGTAATAAAAATGTTTTATACATTAGTACAACATCGCTAGTTCTCTTTTTTTCTTTCACCTTAGAACGGCATCGTGAATAAGAAAATAATAACATGTTGAATGCACTATATAACATTGCCAGCTCTGTTGTTTTTGTATTCACCTTAGAGCGATATCCCTAAGGTGAGGAAGGAGTATAAAAAGAAGTTCGGCAAGGACCTGGCTGAAGATCTAGAACAGAAAAGTGATCACACGACGATTCCCGTCCTGAAAGTGCTCATCAATAAAAATCCTAAAGGAAAGGTAATGCCTTGTGTCTCTATTTGTAAGTGTGTTACATCCCACATCGATACTGTTTAGATTGTTTGGGAGGCAGATTTTTCTGCCCTGCCTGGCAGGATCAATACGGTCTGAGTGGCTACAGTATTCCATCAAACAGACGGAGATTCTCTCTCTTTTTAAAAATGTCCTCACTCAGTCACTCAGGAATCGATTTCACGTCTTCAGCCTCAGACGCCGATATAGTGGTCAGTGGTCATTGTTATTGCGTCTGCCAGTTCATCTTTGTAAATTCATTGTTCCAATTTTATGTTTTTGACATGAAGAGGGATACTTACAGCAAAGGCATCAAACGTGACCCAAATCTAGGATCCTTATCATATGGGTCACATAACAGAAGAAGAGGGAAAACCCCATATACACGTCCAAAAGTTGCCAAATCATTTTTAGTAGACAAATTAATTTCTTTCTTTTTTAACACTGTAAGGACGAAGCGGATACGTAATGTCCAATCAGCTGCAGACCAGAGACGATGTTGTGGCACATTTTAAATCACCATATCTTCTTCTTCTATCTCGTGGTTGGGGCAACTGTGGGGGCACCACTGCATCTGACAACCAGATTTCTTTCTGTCCTCTGCTTTCCTCAGATTGTCACCCATCGTCTTCCCTGTCCACTCTGTGATGTTGACATCCCATCTCCTTTTTTGCCTTCCTCTCTTTCTCTTTCCTTGTATGGTTCCTTGTAGGATTGTTTCGGCAAGTCCTTTGGATTTCGTGACATGCCCATATCATTTTAATTTTCGTCTCTTCGCTGTGATCAGTAGATTTTTATGCTGCCCCACTGCGTTTGTGATTCTGTTCCGTATCTCAGCATTTGAAATGTGGTCTTTGTATGAGATGTCAAGGAGTCTGCGATAACATCTCATCTCTGTTTTCTGAATCCTTTTCTCCAATTCTGATCACCATATAAACGAATTAAAAACACAAATGCGCATGCGGTTATTTCATTGCATGCATGTTGTTGAATCTGAGACTCAGATAAAGAAAATAGAACTGAAAAATCTGTTTAAATTGTGAAGTTATGCTTCTTTTTTTTTGAGTGCCCAAAATCAACGCGTCTTCACGTGTTGTCAATAATAAATACCCAGAATGCACATCCGGATTGAGTTAACAAACCCATCGACTCCTTCTGATCACCAGGGAGGCAAAGACAAAGATGACACGCGTCGAGGTGAGAGTGAAGGACAAGGAAAGAGTGAGGACGATGCTGAGGAAGAGAAGTTCGATCCTGACGCTGATGCAGAAAAGCTGCACAACGCCGTGAAGGGGCTGGGAACTGACGAAGACGCAATCATTAACATAATCCCTTGCAGAACAAATGCGCAGAGGCAGGAAATCAAGAAACGATACAAAGAGTTATACAAGCAGGTATACCTTGGTCAGGCCCCATGTGTTTACAACTGTTGCGTCCTTCCATTATTGTTTTCATAACATGATTCCCTGCAAAACTACTGTCCGGCAATAGAAAAAATGATAATATACATGTAACAGATAAATAATATTAAGTGTATGAAAAGGAAAGGGAGACAGAACAAAAAATGAAACAAAAGACAACTCTATTTATTGGAGAAGTAAGGGCACAAAGTACCATTCGGCCTCTGTTCGAAATTTGAAGAAAGGTGGATCACAAAGAGCTATTCTTTTTGTCGCTATGATCATAGTCGTATTTTTTGTCAACTTCTCCTTGTTCCTCCATCTCTCAGCCCCCCCCCCTCCCTCCCCCATCCCTAATTTCCTCGTCTCCCTTCTCACACAAACAGAGAAAGCGAGAGAGTGAGAGAGAAAAGGCGAGAGAGAGAGAGGGGGGGGGGGGGA